CGCGCCCGCGCCCATGCCCACGCCAGACCCGGCTCCGCGGCGCCCCCGCGCCGGAGTCTGCACCCTCAGCCCCGGGCCCGAGCACCCTCAGCGGAGAGGAGGTGAGTGCACGCCCCGGCCTCGCCCAGGCAACGCCCCTGCCCAGGAGGCTGCCCGCTGCACCTGCTGCAGAGCCAGGATTGTTCACTCCACCTGTGTATGGATTAATGCAGCAGCCACTTCCAGCGTCAGCCCATGAAGCCGGTACCCAGAGGCTTCTGAGGGGTGACGGCGAGACCGGGATCGGGAGGCCTGGGTTCTAGTGCTGCCCTGTAGGCCGCAGGCTGTGTGCATTGGAGCTGAGGATAAAAGACCCAAAGACTTCTGAGCCAAGTGCTCTTCTGTACAAACTGTGTGGCCTACACGCCCCCAAACTGCAGATTTTGGGGCACTATGAACATTTTTGTTTTGAGACAGGGTCTCACTATGTAGCCCAGGCTGGCTTTGAACTCAGCAGACTTCCTGTCTCAGCCTCCCTTATGACAGGATGACAGGCGAGTGCTGCCAGGCCTGGATTATATGAACTCTTACAGAAAGGTCTATGAATTCCTGTAGAAAAAAAAGTTGTGTGAACTCCAGGAAATTGTACAAACTCCTAGGAAGCTCCTCCAGTGTATCTTGAGTGAATATGCTGCTCTGAGGCCAAGTCTAAGCACCTCAGCATCTTTGAGAGTCAATAAAATATAAGCTCTAGAAACGACATTGTGACATCAAAATAATTGTATTACTCCATAAAGTACAAGCATGCCAAAGCTGGCAGGGGCTGTGGCAGGTATGAAGGCTGGGAAGAGCAGGGGAGCGAATGAACGAAAAGATGTTAACTGCTTGCCGCGTATTCATTCAGCAGTATTTGCTGGGTGTGCTTATGCCTAGAGCTCTGATACATGCTGATAGAATTCTAACGCAAAAAGTGATGACAACAAATCAACACAGATAAGAACAAAAAGACCAAGCGCTGCCCCTGTGCTTAAGACAGGGAGACTTAATTGTCCAGCATGTTGATGCCCACTGGTGTAGGCCGGAACACGTCCCACTTCCTGCTAAGCAGGAGCGTGACGTCAGTAGTGCACAAAGCCCCGCTGCTGTACTGCCCCTGTGAGGAGCCGAGCACACCCAACCATGCCCGTTCCCACACCTGAGCCCTCACGCACCGCATCAGAGCCTGCACCAGAATTGCTGTTCGCTCAGGGCTGTGGGCTAATTGGGAGGAGGAAGCAGGAGGACAAGGTTTCTTTATGTAGTCCAGGTTGGCCTTAAACTCACTGTAGCCCAGGCTGGCCTCCAACTTGTGACCTTCCTACCTCAGTCTCTCACATGCTGGGATTATAGGCAGGCCCCACCACACCTGGCACCAATCCATTTTAGTATATGTGCTGCAGAAGTGAGCACAACCAATGCATTTTAAAATTCAGAAGTGTCCAGAGTTTGGAGAGAATTCAGGGTATATTCACATGTGAAAGGCCTTTTCTCCGTGGTACGGGGCAGCATCCCATAATCCAAATCCAGTATTATTTTTGCCAGAAAATGTGAATGCTCCATTTAGAATACCAGTAAGACCATAATTAGCCTTACCTCTTAATTACTTCTGCTGTTGCTGGGTCAAAATACCTTGAAACCCACAATTTAAAAGAGAGGTTTATTTTGACCCGCAGTTTGTAGACCAAGACAAAATGGCATGGCAGAGGGCATGGGGGGCGGGGAGAGCTGCTCCTGACATGGAGACCGGAAATGAAGAGAAGGGAGGAGCTGGTGGGAGAGAAATCCTTCCAGGCCACGCCCTCGGGGACCACCTCTTCCCACCAGGCCCCACCTCCTATCAGCAAGCCTGCTATGAGCTCCGTCATTGGACACCTTCCAAAGGAGCATGTGAGGATGTTTTGGGACATCCAGATAAAAACTTGGTGCCTTAGGTCGGTGAAGGTCAGGCTTCCTGCCGGATGAGTTGTGTCACCCAACCGACGGAAACGTCAAAAAGACAAGGGGAGACAAAAACTTGGTTTTGAAACTCTCAATCATAAAATCACAGAACGTTCATTGCTAAGGTTTATTGAATACTTATTCCATAGTGAGTGCCATCTTTGTCACTGTATGCTGACAGCTCTAGGAAACATGTCACCATTGCTCTTCGCATTTTAGACGCGAGGACACAGAGGCCCAGGGAATGAAGCCAGACAGCTACTAGGTGTCAAATGAGAGGACTCAGACCTAGGCAGCTAGGACTCTAAAGAGTCGTCAGGGAGTATGAGGGACCTAGGTAGGTAAGTAACTTTTAGAACGCTAAAGCCCTGGAGACGTTGAGCTGTGGAGGTAATGTGCCTGACACCCAGCTCCTTGCAGTACTCAGCTGCCTGCTGGGCATGCGCTGTGGAGATGAAGTGCTTGGTTGGGGCCCCTGGCGGGAAAGGGGGGGGGGGTCTCTGCAGCCTCTGTGGATGACCGCCTTGGAGAGCTGTCCAGAGCTCTTGCTGGCCGCAGCCCGACCTGCACTGCACGCGTTCTGGCTGATGTATTTTGGATGGAGGACATTTTTTTTCTTCTAACGTATCCCCAAGGGGCCAGTCCGTGTTTACTATGAAGTTCCTGTGAGTCTTTATCACACTCTTGACAGTTTCAGATGACCGGGTCCAAATATTAGCCTGGGAGGCCCCAGCTGCCGACAGATGTCATGTGCTTCCTGGCTGAGGAAAATCCCATTTGCTTACATTTATCAGTCACGAGGTGCTTGCTTAGTATATCTGACCCCAAAGAGAAACTTCAGCGTGTTCCCTGGATGGCCGTCTGCTCCGCTCTGTTTCAGGTTTGAGGGCTGAGGTGAAGGTGGTTGGTGTTTACATGTTTAACAAACTGTTAGATCGCTAAGCTAAGCAGTGCAAAACTTAATTAGAGCCAGATAACAGAGAAGACGACTGACCCTTCCAACACACACTTATTAGGCGTCTATTGTGCTGCAAGGCCCGGGCCCAGGCACAGAGACCAGTGAAAATCAGGCTATTACTGGTAGGCTAGAGCAGTCGTCTGCACACTTTTTTTTTTTTTCTTTTTGCAGAACTGGGGATTGAACTCAGGCCCTTGCACTTGCCAGGGAAGCGCTTATTCTACTGAGCCATCTCCCCAGCCCCTGTCTGCACACTTCTAAAGATCTTTTTAATTAGTGTGTGTTTGCAGTACATAATGATGACATTCATTGTGGGCTGTTGGTACACATACATAATTTTTTGTGAAGCTGTGAGAGTCCTTGCAAATCAGCCTGAGCTGGAGGCTCAGCGTGTAGTACGGACGGAAGGCGAGCTGCTCTGGCGGAAGCCTCAGAGGCCCTGGAATAGACTGCTCGAGTCCGCACCCAAGCGCAGCAGTGGACTGCAGCCTTGCCTGACTGTTAGACTCTTCTGCCTAGTTTTCAGAATTCCTGATATCCACATTATGCTCCTACAGACCTCAAAACCCGGGACTCATCCTCAGACATTGATAGGATTCCAATCCAGTTCATTTGAGTCTGGAAGTCTCTTTGGGACCTCAAGTTTCCATAGGAAAGAATTTGAGAATCAAGTGTCATCGCATGAATGTTCCCAAGTTTGTTGAGCGCAGTTGACAGTCTCTGGCAGTAGGGCTGGGTGGCTCGTGGTTTAGAAAGGAAGCTGCCAACACCTTTCCTGCTTAGCGGAGACTCTGATGGGTATGCTGGTGGTGTGTTCTGGTGGCTTTGTCAAAAATGAGCCCAATGCACCTTAAGACACAGAAACGTCTTCAGCTCGCAGCAGAAGGGTGAAGTGGCGCTGCTTATAGCTGTCATATTAGCTTGTCTGTGGCAGTGGAGGAGAGCTGAACCCAGAGCACACCGTCCATGCAGGATGGCGGCAGAGGAGTGACCACAGTGAAAGTAAAGGGGCTGCAGGACTACACCTGGGGACGTCTGGCATCTACCTGCTCCTGTAACCAGGCCCTGGTCTCATTCAAATGCACAGTTATGATTTAGGACTCCCAGCTTCAGAAGTAATGCTACTTTTTAAAAAAATGTACCTAGTACAAGGTCTACAGGGTCTCACTACACAGACGGGACTCATAGTGATCCTCTTGTTTTCAGCTCCCCAGTGCTGGGATTGCAGGCGGGTACCACCATGCCCAGTCTCATTCACTATCTCAGCGCACCTGGTTCCTGGGTCTGCCTAAGCACGTGCTTTAATACGCTGAGCTGGCTGGCTGGCCCTGTAATGCCATTCGTTATTGGAGGCCTCCCAAGGAAAACCAAACTGCTCTGAGCCTCTGTGGCTTCACCTTTGAAACCAAAGCAATAATAATCCCTATCCTGTGGGGTTATTGCGGAAATCCGTGCCATGATGCTACTTTTGCGTTGCTCAGTCAGAACTAGATGCTCAATAAAAATGTAGCTTAACTCGCATTCTGGATCTAGAAGCTGGTGTTAGTGAGAGAGGGTTCGGCAGACAAGGTCAGGTGAGAACTGGGGCCTGCCGGGAAGCCCCCCGTGCTGTTCAGCCAGGCAGTGGCAGTCTGTAAGGGCTCTGGGGGGGGGGTTCTGCCTGTAGGTCTTAGCCAGTGGATTCCACGACAGCCCTCTGTTGTACCCTTCCTCACTGCTCACCCGTTGGCTAATTTAATTCAGTTTCCGCCAGACTGGCTAGGGGAGCAACGCCCATCCCTACCTGAGGGCTGCAGGGAGCTTTCTGTCCCTGCTGCTCCCCTGGCAGCAGGCTTCCTTGCCTTCCTCACTGCCTTCACCTCCCCCATCCATCCTAATTGCCCATCGCACATGGGGACCAGCAGACCCCTGGGAAATGGGCTGCCCGGTGGCTTTGATCCAGTAAGGCTGGAGATGGGGAGAAGGCCCCTCCCAGCAGGTGCCGCCACATCACGGCTTTCGCCTGCTGGAGAGGAGACTCCCGAAACTCCTGACTATAATGTCAAGGCCCCTGCTCCTGTTGTGGGGAGGTGTCCTATCCTGTTGGTGTTTGAGGCAGGAAGAGGTGGAGGAGGGTGGGTTTCCCAGAGCCCCTAGAGAGGTAGAGCAGCATGCTTCCTGGTGGCAAAGTCCTGCTGCTCAGGAGCG